CACATGTACCACCACAGGGAACCTTCAGTTTGTAGTCCGCCCATCTCTCTCTTATCAGCCACTTACAATTTTGATTAGGGCATTTTTGTGTGTGGATTCCTCTTGGGTTTGGCAGAATGCTTCACACTCAAATCAGGTTTCTCATCCAACTAAATGCTAAGTTATGGCCATTTGTTCACTATATATAATTATTTCCAAGACATACGACCCATATGACTGTCTCCACCAATTGACAAATTAAAATTGAAAAGGGTCTAAAACTAAAATTGGATCTAGGGTTCAATAATATACCGAGTTATGACCTGTTGTTAATTTTGCAATCTAATATTTTCCGTGATTAGAGATAATGGATTGCTCTCAATGCTTTACTTTTCAAGAAATCTGTAAAAAAAAAATGTCTGCCTATTTAAAAAAAAAAAAAATGATTGAATCACGCTCAGTATTTTTGAAATTAAACAAAAGTATGAATATGTATATATTGGTTTTGTGTTTGACAGCCAACAAGTGTAGCAACAGGCACATATGAGCAGGCTGTCAGTAAGGATGGAAAGTTTCCAGGTGACAAGTCTAACAATGCCCAATCAAAGCGGGGGATACAGACACACCCAGATGGTAAGCAGAGTTTTCAACAGAGACCTAACTGATTAATATTATATATCAACCATTAACACCTCTTTTGAAATATTTTTTTTGTCTACAAGATATCTCCAGAACCACTCCACAGATTTAGTTAGATTTGCACCATAGTATTGTAATTACTTCAGATTAGAGGTCAAAGGTCACACATGACCACTTTTGAAGTAAACAGGTTGTGTACAAGATATCTCACAACAAACCCCTTATTAATTCAGTTTATACCATTGTATGGTGGTACAATGGTAACATCAAGCTCTATTCCTAAATAGATTTTGATAGTCATTTGTCGAGGTAAAAGGAGTCAAAAGTCACTCCTTAACACTTTTGAAGTAAAACATATCTCGTGAATCCCTTTAACAGAGTATACACCATTGTTTGGTAACACAAAGTTCTACGCTTCATTGAATTTTGGGGTCATCTTTCATAACTAAAAGGTCAAAGGTCACATTTGACGAGAATTTTGGGGGTGTGAAGGGTGTATTTATGCGAGTCCCTTGTTTTGCTTGTTATTTCGGAAGTTGAATAATGAAATTCAGGTATATTTGAGGTAGGTGTCTTTGGTGGAACACAATCACTCGCAAAATTTGTGGCAGCTTATTTCCTACACTGACCACTATTATTATATGTCAGATTTATTCCCAGAAAGATGTTCTATCTTATCATTGTCCTATTTACTTATGTACAGGTACAGTGTCAAATATACCCACCGGCATGGTAACTGACCAGTTCGGCATCGTAGGACTGTTAACTTTCATCCGTGCAGCAGAAAACGACCCAAATTTAGTGGCACTAGCACCTGGCATCGACTTGACGACATTGGGTTTAAATCTCAACTCACCCGAGTAAGTTGTTATCATTTGTGTATCTTGTTTAATAATAAATTTCTGTTTTAATATTTTAAAAATATATGACCTATCAATCAATGGTCCAGGATGCCTAGCAGCTCAAAATCTGTTCAGGATATCATGCTTTGTTTTTGACATTTCCAGTGACCTGAACATTGTAGTTAGCAGCTTAAGGGTCTGGAGTTTAAAATGCTTGGATTCCCAGGAAAATTTTAAATTAGAAAATGGTAAACATATCCATCAAGCCATTTATTGGATGATGGTTCCTCCAGATTGAGGAGTAGATGGGTTAATGAGATAACATAAATAATGCTTTTTGCTGCATTGGCAAATTAAAAGGTTCAAAACTTCTGATTAAGACACTTACCGTAGTCTGAGTGTAAAATTGGGATTTTAAAAATATTATACTGTATATTTGTGTTGTTACTCATGGTGTGGAAAATTTTACAACGGCAATCAATGGTTCAGAAATCTATATATATATATATA